GCTGTGGGGTGACAGGAGTTGTGGGGTGACTGGAGTTGTGGGGTGACTGGAGTTGTGGGGTGACTGGAGTTGTGGGGTGACAGGAGTTGTGGGGTGACAGGAGCTGTGGGGGGGGGGGAGGGGTGACAGGAGCTGTGGGGTGACAGGAGCTGTGGGGTGACAGATGCTGTGGGGGGGTGACAGGAGCTGTGGGGTGACAGGAGCTGTGGGGTGACAGGAGCTGTGGGGTGACAGGAGCTGTGGGGGGGGGGGTGACAGGAGCTGTGGGGTGACAGGAGTTGTGGGGTGACAGGAGCTGTGGGGTGACAGGAGCTGTGGGGGGGGGGGGGTGACAGGAGCTGTGGGGTGAGCTGTGGGGTGACAGGAGTTGTGGGGTGACAGGAGTTGTGGGGTGACAGGAGCTGTGGGGTGACAGGAGTTGTGGGGTGACAGGAGTTGTGGGGTGACAGGAACTGTGGGGTGACAGGAGTTGTGGGGTGAGGCCGTAGTTCCAAGGCCGAGCGTGCAACCGTTCATCAATACTATTATTGCCGACCGTCTACCATCACTATTTAAGTCAATCGTCCACTAATAGATCCAACCGTCCATAATGGATCCAACCGTCCACTAATAGATCCAACCGTCCCTTAATAGATCCAACCGTCCACTAATAGACCCAACCGTCCAGTAATAGATCCAACCGTCCATAATGGATCCAACCGTCCACTAATAGATCCAACCGTCCACTAATAGATCCAACCGTCCATAATGGATCCAACCGTCCACTAATAGATCCAACCGTCCACTAATGGATCCAACCGTCCATAATGGATCCAACCGTCCATAATGGATCCAACCGTCCACTAATAGATCCAACCGTCCACTAATAGATCCAACCGTCCATTAATAGATCCAACCGTCCACTAATAGATCCAACCGTCCACTAATAGATCCAACCGTCCACTAATAGATCCAACCGTCCACTAATAGATCCAACCGTCCACTAATAGATCCAACCGTCCACTAATAGATCCAACCGTCCATAATAGATCCAACCGTCCACTAATAGATCCAACCGTCCACTAATAGATCCAACCGTCCACTAATAGATCCAACCGTCCACTAATATATCCAACCGTCCACTAATAGATCCAACCGTCCACTAATAGACCCAACCGTCCACTAATAGATCCAACCGTCCACCAATAGATCCAACCGTCCATAATGGATCCAACCGTCCACTAATAGATCCAACCGTCCACTAATAGATCCAACCGTCCACTAATAGATCCAACCGTCCACTAATAGATCCAACCGTCCACTAATAGATCCAACCGTCCACTAATAGATCCAACCGTCCACTAATAGATCCAACCGTCCACTAATAGATCCGACCGTCCACCAATAGATCCAACCGTCCACTAATAGATCCAACCGTCCACTAATAGATCCGACCGTCCACCAATAGATCCAACCGTCCACTAATTGATCCAACCGTCCAGTATCAATATGTGCACCACGCCATCATAATTACCCTCAACCAACTACCAACAGAGGCCGCTGAAACCATTGTTTCCAAACACCATCTTTTGAATCCAACCAGACTTTAATATAAACCGGGAGTGATCTCCCCTAAACTTTCTCGAATATTCTTATATAAAATAACAGGGGATGGGAACTCGGGCTATAGACATGATTTTTAATCCATTTTAAATACTTAAAGTTTTAAAAATAGAATAAAATCTCGTAGACAAATTAATTGCACACCAAGTGAACGCGAAATAAAAAAGCGCATAATAGTGCGCAATATTATTATTACTTTTAAAATTTACATTAGTTTTTTGAGAAATCGGAAGTAGCGTAAAGTACTACTTCCAGTCAACGGAAATGACTCAAAATTTAATAGAAGGTAGAGAATTAGATCTTTTACTTACGTATGAAATTTCATTTATCTGAAATAGTACTCAAGTTATAGGCTTTTGAAAAATTCAAAGTAGGAAAAGTACCACTTCCGGTTATCGGAAATCGCTCAAAAGTTGATACGGATCTACGATTTTGATTAACAACTTATATATGAAATTTCATCAACCTAGCTGTAACGGTACTCAAGTTATCGTGTTTACACACGGACACACACACACACACACACACACACAGACACACAGACATACGGACAAGATTGCAAAATTATGTTTTTCCGTATCAGTGAGATGCAAAACGTCGAGATTTGCAAAAATCTCGATTTTTTTTTTTGCACGATTACAAGACTTTCTCTATACTTCGTATATACGAGAAAGTAAAAAAAATTGTATCTTACATAAAAAACACTCCGTTTTTTGATGATTAATCTTTCATTAAATTTTTATTTTCTCTTTTTTTTCGTAACTCCTCTCCCCTCCCCCTCTCCATTGGATCATTTGAATGCTTTTAATCTTCTTTGTGCGCGGATTTTAATAGCTCTGTGGGGTGGGTGGGTTGTTATAGTGGGAGGAGGTGGGGGAGGGGCGGGGAGCCCTGACTGGCCCTCTCACCAGGGATGGTATAGCTCGAACACAAAAGAATTTAATTAGTGCCCTTAAAAAATCTCTTTTCTAATTTTTTGTTTTGTCTTCAAACTTAAATTTTTTATTTAATTACTCGCTCAAACTTTTTTCTTTTGTCCTCGTAATGACTATGGAGAAATTGCGATCGTTGTAAAAATATCCCTCGGCCACCGCCCATACCATTCTTCCTTTCGACCAAGTACTCTACATAGGCTATTCTAAGTCTTTTATGTTAGAAAACAAAGCTTTGTACAGTAGAAGCTTTGTGGTGTGGAGAGTTTAAAAGTGTACAGTGTAGTAGGTTTTCTGGAGAGTTACAAGTGTACAATGTACGCGCTAGGGCAGAGGATTTAATGTAAATAATGGAATGGATTCGAACCCACAACTGCCACAAGCTTTAGACCCGAACGTTTGACAAAACTAACAGTAGCAAGATTGTCCTACCTTATAGACTGTCTAAAACATAATATTATCACACATAATATTATCACACATAATATTATCACACATAATATTATCACACATAATGAATCGACACATAATTTACTTACGTAGAACAGAAACATAGCGGTTCCATAATTTCCATATTCATTATACACACAAAAACACGAATAATTAACCCACATACAATTAAACGATATACATTTGTATGTAACTATTCAGTGGAAACATAATTTGAAGACACAAAATTCAACCGCACAATTTGAATACATAATTGATTCACAGAATTCAAAAAGAATTTTTTTTTAAATTTCAACGTGTTAACACGCATAATTTATATACTGAACGTCAGCACACATAATTTAAACACTGAACTTAAGCACACATAATGTATAGAATGAATTTCAACTCACAATTCAAACACATTTTTTGTTTGTTACAAAGAGCCACAGCTGCCATCAACAAAAACAAAAACCAACATTATCCTCAAGTCCTAGATCTAGATCCCAGGGAAGCCTGCAGCGTTTGATCATACCATGTTCGCATCAGACATAAAACAGAAAAAAATGTCTTATTAATAAACAAATAAGTTCAATTCAATGTGCATATATGTAATTACTATGTCTTGCATGTGTCAACAAAACAATTTAAGTTTGTCAATATTCCAACAAACTTTTATTCCAACAAACATCAAAAGACTATTTCACGGCAGTTAAAAACTAATTAGCCCGATTGCCTAATAAGGGCAGTTAAGTCTAGCAGTAGAAAATATTAATTCTCATTGGTTACCCAGGCGGTATAATGGATATATGGGTCACGTGACGTGTGGAAAGTTTTTGGTTGTTAAAACTTTGTATTTCGTTAGTTAATCAATTTTAATTACAAACTTTGTATTTCGTTAGTTAATCAATTTTAATTACAAACTTTGTACTTCATTATTTGATCAGTTTTAATTACAAACTTTGTACTTCGTTAGTTAATCAATTTTAATTAAAAACCTTACATTTCATTGTTAAACGTAGATGCGTTTTTTTCAAAGCCCTGACTATCATTAGGGGACATTCGCATATCTGCATAAATATGAGTGTAGTGTGCGTGTGTGTAGTGTGTTTGCGTGTAGTGTGTAGTGGGTGTGTAGTGGGTGCATGTGTGTATTGTGTGTGTAGTGGGTATGTGTGTGTAGTGTGTGTGTGTGTGTATTGACTATCATTTGAGTTGTTGCTGTACACTTTAACCTTTGCAGGCCACTGCTCTAGACTTACGTCGCACAAAAAAAATCACTCTTGTAATTAACACTTTACTGCGCGGTAGGTCCCTACTACCTTAGCATTAGCATAAGTGTTCTAACAGCAATCGTCAGAGAAAGCTGAATTTTTCTGAATTTCAATTACTTTGGTTTCTTTCTGTCCTCTCTACCTATACACACACACACAAACACACACACACACACACAATATACCTTTATTTCTTCCCATACGTCTGCGTGCTCTGCTGATAGTTTGCCTTCAGTTCAAATTTCAGCATTTAGATTGGTTAAACGGTAATACAGCTGACTTGAGCAGGCGCCAAGTTTTATGTAGTCAACTGTCGCCTGCACTCCATTGAGCAGCCGACACGGTGAGGCACACATGCGAGCTGTTGTAGCATTAGCATACCCTGCACGTGTGTACGAGAGCCGAAATGTTCAGACCAACACGTGTTCGTCTTAGTAAAACATTTGGACGAAACTGTAGCCTATTAGCTGGGCGAAATTAAAGAAACTCATAGGGTTTCTTTTTGACATTTTTCTACAAAAGCGCACTTAAAATTTATGGAGGGCGAGGGGGACACCTGGGTGTGGAGGGCGTGCTTCCAATGAGGGTGGGGAGTGCCCCCTCCGAAGAGATGCTTCAAGTTTAGCGCCCAATAGTTAGCCTCGTATAAGCCTATATTTGACGTTCCTGAAACCTCCACGTGCTAATGTAGCGCCATCTAGACCACGATCCCTGTGTTTTCCCGCCACAAATGACGACACACTGTATTTCTCTCTGTCCACAGACATCAGACGACTCGGAGATCAGATTCCTGACCAAACGAACCAAGCAGATGGCCAAAGACTCGAGGCGACAAATGCCCCACAACAGCAGCGACATCTACCAGTGGGCCAAGGACAAGTTCAGGTCGGTCACGTCCTACAACGAAATAGCCAACGACAACATCAAGTTCTATGTGGGTCGAGGTAAGTCAAGGACGTTATGACGGGTGGGTGACGTCAGAGGCGTAGCGACCCCTACCGGCGTACGGGGACAAACTTTCAATTTGCCCCAACCCCCATATATTTTTTTTATGTTTATAATTCAAAACTGAATCTAAAATGAGTTTTTAATTATTTTTTCAACCCATTTTGGCGCCCCTAGGGTCGGCGCCCGGGGACATATGTAGCCCCCCACCCCTTCGTTACGTCTCTGGGCAACGTAAGTTACACCAAACTTCATAGATGCAAATTTTACTTCCTGGTTTAATTTGGATTTTGTTTCCATTTTTTTTTAATGTTAAAAGCCAAGTTTTCTATTCCATCATTAAATTTCCTCATTTCGCCTACATAACTAATAAGCTCACTTATTAAAACTAAGCTATGCATGCTGTATTCCCTGTAAATTTCATTTGTTTTTTATGATCGCCATAAAATATGACAATTAAACTACTCATGTTTCTGCCAACAGACGCCAGAGCCTCAGCTGAGTGTGACGTGACAAAGTTGACACCGAGCATGCGCGTCTTCTCCTTTCACGAGGTGTCCCAGCCAATCAGCGGATGCACAGCTAAAAATAGACACAACGCGATATCATTTGCAAAGTGAGGAGTTCGATGTCTGCTTTCTTTTTGTTTTCACTTTTTATAGATCTAGATCTAGATCTAGAACTAATTAAGCGAAGCAATAACTTCACCTAGGATTAACATTCTACGTCGTCTTCAAAAACAAACCTGACTTTAGGTGAACTGCATAAACGACCTCACACTCCTTTGGGTGTGTGTGTGTGGGGGGGGGGGGGTGCGGACATGTGTGACGTGTGGTGGGAGGGCATTCATAAAGTGTTTTGCATTTTAAACAGCTCATGTATGCGTAATTTCGCGGTTCAGTGGACTTCTGTGAATTGTAATAACATTGACACTTAGGCTCAACCTTGCCCAAATGGAGGTCAATATTTTATAAATAAATCTACGTTGCTCCCCCCCTCCCAAAGATAGCAGTTTTAGGGGGTGGGGTCTGGGATTTTGTGACGATGGGGAAGGTGATGCAAAAACTTTTTTGAATAGAATGACTTAGCAAAAGTTGGTAGTTGTTAGCTTGCCTGGCGAGGCTGGTAGCTGGCCCAGGTGTTGGCTCTTTGTTTGAAAATTAACATCGCTAATTATGCAACCTACTCTTGATTTTATCAACGTTTTTAGTTATATTCCTATTGTAAGAATAAATTGTTGCAATATTATTTACATTATTGGGAATTTTATTGTTACAGAAAAGCAACTTTTTAAGGCTTTCTATTTTGTTTTTAATAAATATGTTAACCAATGTAAAATGGCATGTTTTGTATGACATTCTCTAATGACTACCTACCAATGTTTGTATGACTACCTACCAATGTTTGTATGACCCAGTGTTTGTATGACTACTTACCAATGTTTGTATGACCACCTACCAATGTTTGCATGACCACCTACCACTGTTTGTATGACAACCTACCAATGTTTGTATGACCACCTACCAATGTTTGTATGTTTGTATGACTACCTACCAATGTTTGTATGACCACCTACCAATGTTTGTATGACCACCTACCAATGTTTGTATGACTACCTACCAATGTTTGTATGACCACATACCAATGTTTGTATGTTTGTATGACTACCTACCAATGTTTGTATGACTACTTACCAATGTTTGTATGACCACCTACCAATGTTTGTATGACTACCTACCAATGTTTGTATGACCATCTACCAATGTTTGTATGACTACCTACCAATGTTTGTATGACTACTTACCAATGTTTGTATGACCACCTACCAATGTTTGTATGACTACCTACCAATGTTTGTATGACCACCTACCAATGTTTGTATGACCACCTACCAATGTTTGTATGTTTGTATGACATCTGATGTAACATAGCAATCATCTCTCTAGACCCACCTATGTGATAGAGCTGATCAGCCCTCCCGCCCCCTCCCCGGGCATGGTTGGAGTGGACCTGGAGGTGCTGGCCTACTATGGGGAGGAGGAGAACCCCCTAGCGCTGGACAACAGAGAGTTCAGCCTGGTCATCAAGTCACCCCCCAATGTCAAGTGGTCGCTACATTCTAAAAATATCCCCGGATGGGTGGAGATTGTGGTAAGCTCGCTTGTAATTTGTAGGCTATTTCTGGTGGCTATTTGCTAAAAATGTAACTTTAATTAGCGAGGTATTTTAATGTTATTTTTACAATAATTAGATCTAAATACTTGTTTTGAATGTCTTTAAAAATGTATATTTGATTTTGACAGCAAGACATTTTTACACTTTCAATTTTGTATGAAAGTGATGTCGCCTTCTAATAGACATGTTTGTATGACAATAATGAAAACATTCAGTGACATCACTGACATGACACCCTCAGTGTCTAGACATCCTCATTGTGAACTCTTAGCTAAGACACCCTCATTGACACCACTCTAACATGACACCATCAGTGAAATGACACACTAAGTGACATGATACACTAAGTGAAATGACACTTCATTAGCACCACTCTAATATGACACCATTAGTGACATGACACCCCAAAGTGACACCACTCTAACATGGCACCCTAGACACGACCCTGTACTAGTTCTGTGCTGTCCCCAGAAAACATTCTAGCACTGACCCTCAATTGGACCCAGCAGCTCTCAACACCTTAAGTGACAACAGGTGGCGGAGAACATCAGGGGGAAGGGGAGGTGGGGGGAGGCTAAACCTGGACTTGAATAATCGTTACTTTTTCTCTGAACGTGCTCGTTACGACTCATTACCGACCTTCACAAATTTTGAACTTTTTAAACCTAAAAATAAACAGAATGAAAATGCCAGAGATTCCTGACAAAAATAGCTGCACCCCCATGGGGTCTTTAAGTGCAAAGAAAAAAGTCTTAAAAATGTGATCTTTTGATCATGTTATGTAAGCAAAGAAAAAAGTTTTAAAAATGTGATCTTTTGATCATGTTATGTAAGCAAAGAAAAAAGTTTTAAAAATGTGATCTTTTGATCATGTTATGTAAGCAAAGAGAAAAGTTTTAAAAATGTGATCTTTTGATCATGTTATGTAAGCAAAGAGAAAAGTTTTAAAAATGTGATCTTTTGATCATGTTATGTAAGCAAAGAGAAAAGTTTTTAAAAATGTGATCTTTTGATCATGTTATGTAAGCAAAGAGAAAAGTTTTTAAAAATGTGATCTTTTGATCACGTTATGTAAGCAAAGAGAAAAGTCTTAAAAATGTGATCTTTTAATCACGTTATGTAATCCTAGACACAACACAAACATACTGCTAAAAAAATGTTAGTAAAAACAGCTAGAACTGCTGGTACAAGTTCAAGTTCAAGCTGAAAATTATAAAAAACTTAAAGGTTTTGAATGAATTCATAATTGATACTTCAGAAAAAGGAAACTAGAGGATAATTATTTCATACAAATTTTAAAAAAAAAACTTTTTCCGAAATATTTCAGGAAATCCCTAAAAATTACATTAAAATATTGAAACATCTTTATTCTAATTTTTAATTTACTAAGACTTTATGACACATTTAATGTTTGTATTCGGACCTTGTGACACATGTAATGACCTTGCTGTGACCTTATAAGGCCTCTAATGACCTTGTTCTTACCTTATGACACCAGTAATGACCTTGCCTTGACCTTGCTCCTCTTGTCCAGGCTGACGCTGAGGTGGTCCGCAATGGCATCAGGTTCAGCAACGCGGCCTACAGACCGGAGATGATTTCAGCCACTGGCCGCAAGCTGATCGACTGGTCGCAGGAGTTCCTGGCCCCCGTACACCTGTATGCTGGTGTACGCGCTGCCAACACCATCAAACTCTGGGTCCCACCCAAAAGTACGAGCGTAATTTTTTATTTTTTTATCACGTTTTTAAAATCCTTAACATAAACTGCAGGTTGTAAAACATCACCATCCCACTAAAGTTTACTCTGAACTAACTGTTGCCATAACAACTAACATAACAACAAGCGTTTTCATGTATACCCAGAGAGGCCTCCCAGGTAGCTTAAGCTCATGGTTCCTGGCTGAAAAGTTGTGAAACTCCTGGTATATGAGGCGATAGCTGGGGACAGCCACTCTTCTAGGAGAGACAACTCCAAAGTCAAACAACTGCTGCCTTTTTGTTTGTTCTTGGTTGGACAAAGGCTATGGAAGCTAATTTAAATGAAAAGCAGGCTGAAATCAGAGTCAATGGCCATAGCAAGTTGACTCGTAATACTAAATTGTGTTGGAGCGATCCCTTCCAACACCAGAGTTAAAAACAAAGAAGAAATATTATACCAAGACAATTCAATTTCCTTATTCCCACCCACCTCAACATGTATCATAATTAACATTTTCTTCTGATAGTACATACACACATAACTGACTAGAATAAGCTTTGCTCTTGTATCCATGTACAATCTAATAAAAACTGATCATTAGGCAATACTCTAATGCCTAAGTACATTATAATTAACAGATCATAAGGCAATACTCTAACTAATTAACAGATCATAAGAAGAGCCAGCTGCCTGATGTCAAGCCAAACTCTAACAAGATGGAGAGGAATGGCTCTGTGAAAGTGGGCCGCAACCGGCTACAAAACGCAATCAAGGTCACCTGCACTGACCAGTACATGGAGGTGGCTGTCTCCAAGAAGTTTATGCAGGTATTTTAATTCAAAGATTTAATTAAAGCCAGTTGCTTTAATTGCAAGACTTTCTTAAAGTTTGTACTTTATTGAGAACTTTTAACTATAGTTGGTACTTTTATTAGAGGGTTTAATTAAAGCTGGTAGTTTATTAGAAGATATTTAATTAATGTAGGTAGTTTTCATTTTAAAAATGTGTAATTAATGCAGTTAGGCTACCAAGATTACAAGAAAGGCTTTTAAACTGCTAGTTTTTGTCAAAGTAGAGATTTAATGTATTCATCAGATGAAAAATTTAATTAATCTAGTTATTTAACAAAAGAATAAATTTGTTTTGGTACAAGATAGTGTAAACATCCATTATTTTAAATTTTAGGTGTTTTAACATTTTACAAAAATTCAGGTGTTTTAACATTTTTGAAAAATTCAGGTCTTTTAACATTTGTTATAAATGTACTTTTTGTGTTGAATGTCTTCTCCAAAAGACTTTAAATACAGACTATTTTGTATGTGTAGTTACCAAAAGACTTTGTTTAGTTTGTGTTCAACAAATGACTTAGTTTACTTTGTATTGACCATAAGACTTAGTTAGTTTGTCTTGACCAAAAGACCTTGTTCTAACCTTGTCAGACCATCAAGAAAGACCTGTCCAGAGTCTCGCTCAATGACTCGTTCTGTGGTCAGACCAAAAGACTTAGTTTAGTTTGTCTTGACCAAAAGACCTTGTTCTAACCTTGTCAGACCATCAAGAAAGACCTGTCCAGAGTCTCGCTCAATGACTCGTCCTGTGGACAGACTGGAGAAAATGAACACAGCATCCTCCTCAAGACACGGCTGACAGGATGTGGCACGACGTCCGTCAGGAAAGATGACAAACTGGTCTTTACAAACACTGTAAGTTGGCAGGGTGGCCCAAACATGGTCAGGGTGGCCCTAACATTGACAGGGTGGCCCACACCTTGGCAGGGTGGCCCTAACAAACCTTGACAGGGTGGCCCTAACAAACATTGACAGGGTGGCCCAAACCTTGACAGAGTGGCCTTAACAAACATTGTCAGGGTGGCCCAAACAAACATTGACAGGATGGCCCTAATAAATATTGACAGGGTGGCCCTAACAATTATTGACAGGGTGGCCCTAACAATTATTGACAGGGTGGCCCTAACAATTATTGACAGGAGGCCCTAAAAAACATTTCCTCCCTACAGATCACTAATTAGGGAGCCCTTAAATCCGGACTACTTTCCTGTAATTAATCTATTTCTGCTTTGATTATCAAGCTATAGAAAGAATCATTATCAACACGATTTAATCATTCATCATTAATCTCTAGATAGCCATTGACCATAGTTTATTGCTGTGTAATTCCTACAAGAATAAAATTGTTAAAGTTCATGCTTTTATTAAAAGACAAACTCTTGCAAAATATATTTCTCCTAGGTGGTTTCTGTTTCAGGCTACCATTGGCTAGTATTGATTTTTAGGATATGCAACTCTGTCTTTAAGCATAAAAATGCTTTGTTGAAATATTCATTACAAATATTTAAATCTAAGAATAGGATGATGAACATGGGATTTAGAACATAATGGTTTTTTGAAGCTATTGTTTCCACCACATAAATGGATTATGTCCAGCACTTTTAGGGTTTTTTGCCATAGGCACCAATCTTCATCTAAGCTGTGCATACACATAGCAGCACAGGTTTTTGCCATAGGCACCAATCTTCATCTAAGCTGTGCATACACATAGCAGCACAGCTTTTTGCCATAGGCACCAATCTTCATCTAAGCTGTGCATACACATAGCAGCACAGGTTTTTGCCATAGGCACCAATCTTCATCTAAGCTGTGCATACACATAGCAGCACAGCTTTTTGCCATAGGCACCAATCTTCATCTAAGCTGTGCATACACATAGCAGCACAGCTTTTTGCCATAGGCACCAATCTTCATCTAAGCTGTGCATACACATAGCAGCACAGGTTTTTGCCATAGGCACCAATCTTCATCTAAGCTGTGCATACACATAGCAGCACAGCTTTTTGCCATAGGCACCAATCTTCATCTAAGCTGTGCATACACATAGCAGCACAGCTTTTTGCCATAGGCACCAATCTTCATCTAAGCTGTGCATACACATAGCAGCACAGCTTTTTGCCATAGGCACCAATCTTCATCTAAGCTGTGCATACACATAGCAGCACAGGTTTTAGCTGTAGACACAATGTTGATCTAAGCTGTGCATACACACAGGAACACAGTATTCATAAACTTGCAGTAGTCATTTTGTAAAAATATAAAACCAGCTTGTATCATTTGGTTTCTAGCACCGCACATGTAAAATACATTGTGCTCCTTAAAAGGAAAGCTTGTACCTGTAAACATGAAGTTTATAAGCAGGCATTGGTGCTGTGTGGAGTGCAGGCTCTAATCCTGTCAGGTTGTAGACTGCTGTCCTTTCTGTCACATTAATTTGTACCTATGTCTACCTTTGCCATAAGATAACACTTTATGTGTTTATTGTTAGTTGTACCTCTAGCAAAACTGATTGGGGTAGTGGTGCCCAAGCTGTTATTGTGACCCTTGAAAGACTGTTTAGAATCTCAATATTAATCCAACACATCCCCTTCATGTTAGATATTTATTCTTCATATATAAATATATTTTAAATAAGTATTGATGTTCTTTGTTATATAAGTCCCACTAGGTGTAACACCTAATTAAAATCTATTTGATTGTTGCAGCTGATTATCCAGGTCCCACCTTGTATAACACCTAGTTAAAATCTATTTGATTGTTGCAGCTAATTATCCAGGTCCCTCTAGGTGTAACACCTAATTAAAATCTATTTGATTGTTGCAGCTGATTATCCAGGTACCACCTGGTATAACAAGCACCATCTTGGTAGAGGAGCTGGGCAGCGGATTCATGGATGATGAGCACGGATCAGGTCTGGGGGACGGAGGCTTCACGGATGACGAGGACTTGTACGGGAGAAAGACAATTAAACAGGATGTGGAGTGCAAAGTTCAGGTAGAATTTTCCTCTCACATAGTTGGTTTTTATTGGAGGGGTTAAGCTTAGGTTTATCCGGGATAAACAAAAGTGAATTTTATGAAAAAATTGATTCTGAAACTGCTAATATGTCTTTGTTATTAAATGATATTAGACTCCAACAATCAAGTAAGTCTTATCAACATGTCCATATAGTCCATATAGTCTTATTGATATTTTTGATTTACATTAAGAACTGTTGTTCAACTTTGAGTTTAGTTTGTCATTAGAATCGTGATAAGCCTCCATATTGTTGTACCATTAGAACTCTGCTAAACCTGCCAGTAAATTCACCATATAATGAAGTCCTATGTTAACTCACCATTAAAACTCTGCTAAATCTGCCTTTAATTTCACCAGATGATAATCAAACCGCCCCAACCCACCAAGTCCCAGTGTGACCTGACCCTGTACAGGGAAGCAACTCTAGCTGTACCTGTGTTGGACTACCCTGTACACATAGTCAAGGACTCCACCGTCTACGCCATGGCCAGAGTGGGTAAGTGGAAACTGATTACATCCATTTAACTGATGTAAGGAGAAACTGATTACATCCATTTAACTGTGTAAGAAGAAACTGATTACATCAATTTGACTGTTGTAAGGGGAAACTGATTACATCCATTTAACTGTTGTAAGGGGAAACTGATTACATCCATTTAACTGATGTAAGGGAAAACTGATTACATCCATTTAACTGATGTAAGGGGAAAATGATTACATTCATTTAACTGATGTAAGTGTAAACTGATTACTTTCATTTAACTGTTGTAAGGGGGAACTGATTACATCCATTTAATTTTTGTAAGGAGAAACTGATTACATCCATTTAACTGATGTAAGGAGGAAGCTACTGATTACATCCATGTAATAATTGTAATTAGTAGATGAGATTAAATTATATGTAGTAGGATTTAGCTTTTGTAATGAGAAATAGCTGGTCACATCAATTGTTTTAGTATATTGTAAATGTTATAAAAAGACGGCCCTGTTAATGTCTGGTCAAATTTCTAAGCTTATTTCCAAATGATTTGATTCTCAACAGGGGCAGGCTACTCTATCCTCCCAGACGCATGCTGGTTCTCCAATTCTAAAGATCCAAATGACAGAGAGGCGCAGATCAGCTATGTTGTCAACAGGTATGGCACAATATTTTTTTCAGTTGGGATCATTGGTACATGATTTGTTTTGACATCCCCCAACCCCAAATATCATCATAAAAAGCAATAAACAAGTGACTGAAATATCTACAAAAGTTAAGACACTAAAAATTAGAAATGACTGTTGTAAAGGGGGTTAACAAAAAGCATATTCCTTAAACTTTTATTAAGAGAAAAATTTCATAGAGAAAATTATTTTAAATTCTTATCATTTTAGTTAACAAAAAGTTTATAATCTCAACCCCCCCCCCCCTCTCCCCCCATCCCCCACAGCTGTCAGGAGTTAACCCAGTCAGCTGCGTACTCCGAGCCGCTGATGGGCTCCAAGATCCAGGACATCAAGTTCAACCTGCAGCTCAGCGACTACTTCCACGGCTACCCGCTCTACCTGCACTGCCAGTTTTACACCTGCAGGAAGGAGAACGACACCAGCCATACTAATGTGAGCGACATTCAATTCACACTTTTGTGGCATTCAATTCACACTGTTGTGGCGTTCAATTCACACTGTTGTGGCGTTCAATTCACACTTTTGTGGCGTGAATTTTGTTTAGTAACTCTTCAATTAGACACCAGCCATACTAATGTGAGCGACATTAGATTCACACTTTTGTGGCATTCAATTCACACTTTTGTGGCATTCAATTCACACTTTTGTGGCATTAAGTTCACATTTTTGTGGCATTCAATTCACACTTTTGTGGCATTCAATTCACACTTTTGTGGCATTCAATTCACACTTTTGTGGCATTCAATTCACACTTTTGTGGCATTCAATTCACACTGTTGTGGCATTCAATTCACACTTTTGTGGCATTCAATTCACACTTTTGGGACATTCAATTCACACTTTTGTGGCATTCAATTCACACTTTTGTGGCATTCAATTCACACTTTTGTGGCATTAAATTCACACTTTTGTGGCGTCAATTTTTTAAATAACTCTTCAATTAGACACCACCCATACTAATGTGAGCGACATTAAATTCACACTTTTGTGGCATTAAATTCACACTTTTGTGGTGTGAGTTGTTTTTAATAACTATTCAATTTGACACCACCCATACTAATGTGAGCGACATTAAATTCACACTGTTGTGGTGTGCATTTTTTAAGTAACTCTTCAATCAGACACCAGCATACATATGTGATTTTAAATTCACACCTTTGTGGCCTTCATAGTATAGTACTACTTATTTTGACACCAGCCATAAAAAGATGAGGAGATGTTTAAAATCTCCACTTTCTTCTAGTGGTTTTGTACATGGTTGCTAACCTTAAATCTGAGAATGAACTCCTGCAGTATATCATTGTCCACCCAGCTCTATAATATGGGAAAATAGGCTGCAATGATCAATGAAAATGTAAAACTCTGTCTTGATGTCTGAAAGGAAATTTAATTTTTTTATTTAATTCATGATAAATTTTAAAAAATTATGAATTTTGTTTCTTTCAGTGTTTTATCAACTACAGAAATCGTTGCCGTCAAAATGAGCCCAATGCGAAGGAGCGAACAGGCCCAAACTGTGGGCCCCTGAGCCTGGGCCCTATCCACCTGGAGAACATCAACATGAACATGAACATCCCTTCAGTGTCCCAGTGGCCAACAGGTATGTTCATGATCACACCAGGCTGCTTGCTTGGCTAAAAGCCCTATTTTACTCATAAATAAAAATAATAGTGATTTTTTTGTTCTGTTACTCTATTTTTATACTCATAACTGGAAAATAAATTCCAAAAGAATTAAACTACATCAACACTGAATTAATATTTATTATCTTTTTTTTAAATTCACATTATTTTTATTTTACTAGCTTGACGAACTCCTTTAGTTCTTTGAATATACCTACATATTCAAATTGTTAAAACTTAAATTTAAACTTTAATTTGCCTATTAACTAAAGGGAAGTAATAATGTATAAATAAGATGAAAGTCATTTTTTACCTTTGCTATTGCTTCAGGTGGGAGAGTTCCAAAAAAAGAGAGCAAACCTCACGATGACACAAACTACAACCAGCAGCAGAAGATCATCATTGAAGGCCTGGACTCAGCCACAGTTGTGGGAATAGCCTTCGCTGCATTCGCCATCGGCATCTTCCTCACTGGTGCATTGTGGTTCATACACTCTCACACAGGTGATGTGGCTTGTTGTAAGTGCATGAGTTTTACCCCTCAGTGGTACTATGAGTTTTACCCCTCAGTGGTTCTATGAGTTTTACCCCTCAGTGGTTCTCATGTTTAGCTGTATGAGATTTTCCCCTCAGTGGTTCTCATGTTTAGCTGTATGAGATTTTCCCCTCAGTGGTTCTCATGTTTAGCTGTATAAGTTTTTCCCCTCAGTGTTTCTCATGTTTAGCTGTATGAGATTTTCCCCTCAGTGGTTCTCATGTTTAGCTGTAGCTGTTTTAATTTTAGTTAGTGGTTTTTAGAGACATGATTTTTTTAACATCATTAGTATAACTAGAACAAAGCATTACATTTGACAAAATATTATGTGACATTTATAGAAGGGCTCTTGTAATCTACCTTATAAATCTTGTAACTTTTAAAAAACTTGTTTAGCTGTATAACAACAAAGTGAATATTTTAAAAGTAAATAATGTTAAATAATTCTGTCTTTGATTTTTTTTTTAGCCTTTTGATGCATGTTTACCCACTAATATATGTGTCACTTCTTTCTTTCAGTTAGAGCAGAGAATCTTAAAAAAAAAATGTAAAACATTCAATAGGTAGGCCCTATCAATTTTTCATTTTTTTTTTTTTTAAATTGCAGGCCCTATCAAACAAGGGGTGACAACTCGCAGACAGCCGGAGGTCGCTGGTGACATGACACCCAACTCCTCCTCACCCATGACTGCGTAGAAAAACCATTTAGTCAACCCGAAAATACTAAAAACCATTACGCCAACCAGAAAATACTTCCGTGCATCAACAGTTGAAAGGAGGAAAAATATCAAAAACTGCAATCACCTATAACAGAATACAGGGCTGTTTGTTCAACAGAATACAGGGCTGTTTGTTCTACAGGAAACTTGTGTGTGGCTCCCACTGCTTACACATACTGTGTGTAAATAGTCACCCATTACATTCATAACAGGTGTGTGAATAGCCGCACAGAAAAATGGCATATTCTGCTAGGATCAACAGACCTAATTTACGATGTGATATTATCGTCAGATCTGTATCAGTATTTTCTCAGTTTACCTCACACAAAATTTTCTCAGTTTACCTCACACAAAATTTTCTCAGTTTACCTCATACAAAATTTTCTCAGTTTACCTCACACAAAATTTTCTCAGTTTACCTCATACAAAATTTTCTCAGTTTACCTCACACAACATTTTCTCAGTTTACCTCATACAAAAATATTTAAATACAAGCTTGAAAGTCAGAGTTTAAACAAAGATATAATAAATTATATTTAAATTATGTTACTACATGCTAAATTCTCATTGAAGCAAGGTATGAGGAAAAAAAAATCATTGCATTTTAATGAACAGAATTTGTTGATACAAAAATGGTTGAAACACTGTTAGAGAGAAGTGAATGTGCACATAGTGGTGTAAAGTCAGGATATTTTCATATCTCTCTCAGTCTACATTTAGAGAGAAGTGAATGTGCACATAGTGGAGTAAAGTCAGGATATTTTCATATCTATCTCAGTCTACGGGTACCTAAACCACAGAGGTGTGTGTTCTCATTGCTTGTGCTACACAAGTTTACCTCATCTGAAAAAACAAAACTTTTTGGAATGTTTTTTTCCTGTTTGTCACCAGCCATACAATGAACTGTCTTGAGAGTTATCTCCCTGCTCAGCTCTTCAGCAAAGGGGGAAAAAAAAATTCTGTGAGAGAAGGTTGTGTTCCAGGAGGATTTAAAACTGATGACTGTGTGTCAATGGATTATAACAAAAGGATCCACTGAAGCAAAGTAAACAAAACAAATTCTTGACAGGATTATATAAACAAGGAAAAAATCCTACTCTATTGTTATAATTTATAAAGTATTTCAGATATTCAGGAGGCTGTTCTGTAATTAATTTTAAAAGTTTACAATTTTTTGTCTGCATTTCTTATGGTGTACATTCTTGACAGAAATATATATATTGATACTAACTATGTTGTTACCTAACTGGAAAGTTTCTATATTGATATAACTTGTGAGACTTTATTGCCAGCATTACATCCGAGGCCGAGTGAATATTTGTTCAACTCCACTTCAAAATCTTCAATGAATTTTTCTTTGATTTGTAAAACAATGGACTAAAGAGGTGGTGACAAGCTTCTTCTAACTGTCAAATAAAAAACATTTTCCTACGGGTTGCGTTTGATGTTAATATCATGATTGCTGTTAACATCATGATTGATGTTAACATCATCATTGCTGTTAACATCTTGATTGCTGTTTATCAGAAAATTCTAGATCTGTAATTATGGGCTTTTTTATTTTCATTGTTTATGTCAATCTTTTATCTGTGTTAAATTAAAATGAAACTAATGACAAAAGTAATCAGTATAATTAGCTCAAAATTTCACAGGGTTAATAAAAGCACAGTTTTAATTGATAGCATTTGTGTATTTTCTTACAACATTTGGATAGGAAATGATATATAGTGCTAGAGTTCAGATTGAATTCACATTTCAAAAAAGCATAACAATAGGTTTGATATGTTGTGACTAAAAGTAAATCAGAAAGGTTATCATACAGTATTTCTTCTTGAATTGTAATGTTTACATAACTTTTGTCACTACATTTTCATATGACTACATTACATTGGCAGTATTTGTATTGTTATAATTCATCAAGTTTTCCTAGCCTTACAAATAATTTTTGGCTTTATTCTCAAGGCATACTTGGCAACTACACTTCTAATGCATTGTATTTTTTAGACATATTTTGTGTAGCCAGGTTTTTTATTGGTAACTTCCTATTTATAGCTGAATCTTAAATTAAGTTGCTTGTCAAAATCATGTGACAACTGTTCAACATATTAGATTTATCACAACTACTGACTTGTATTATTTGTGGATAAACAACTAAATCAACTTTTTTGGACATATTTTACCACCATATTTCATGGGTCTCCTGTATAGTTTTTAGTTATTCTCTATTTTCTTTGCAGTTTTCTTTTAAGTTTAAATTATTTTTTAATTTGAAATTATATTAGGTCTACTAATTTTTTTTATCCTCCTGTATCTCCTAAAATTATAAGTTGTAATAAAAAAAAGTACTGTCTGTTGAAAGCCCCAAAATTCTATTGATCTCAGGGACATGTAATCTCGCTTATGCCTGCTTGTCAATTCAACATCAGTTTAAAAAAATTTCCTTTCTTCTGCTTATCAAGTTTAAAAATCCTATCCTATGTTGCATTTGCTATGATAACATGTGTTAAAATGAAGAATAAATAATTTAAAATTAGCATTTAAGAAACATTTAAAAATTGAAACTGATATTTTTTATTTATTAATAAGTCTGCTGTGTTTTGTTGTTGGAAGTCAATAAATCTAGCATAGCTTTACCAGGTTAAGATTGGCATAGGCTGAATGTTTTGTTATTTACTGGACTTGCACATTTCCTCTCCTAAGTCTCCAATTTCAGCTTGCTTGTGTTGGCTGGTAGGTAAACTAGCTGGTTGTAAAGATGATTTGGTACAGCTTAAATTTTTTTTTTATTGTACTGTTTTTTTTCTTCTTCTTGTTTCTTTTCTTAGAGCTAGTAGATTTGTAAAAGTTCAAAACCTATGTTTTTCTTAAAGCTAGTATATTTGTAAAGGTTTGAAACCTATGTTTTTCTACAGCTAGTAGATTTGTAAAGTTGAAACCATTATTTTTACAGGACAAAGCAAACTTTGATGAGTTGTGTGAAGTATTTTTTGAAAATCTCTTTAAATTCCACCTACTGACCATTTAAATGGTGTCAATCCCAGTCTGTAACCTTTCTGTCCAAGAGCTCCTTTTTAAAATGAGGGACTAGAATTGTCTTGTTGAACCATGTGATATCACCTAACAGGTTAGACAAACAACATTTTTTCATCCCCAAAACCTTACACTGTCTCTCTGCTTAGTATACATTTCCATTTGTTTACATCAACCATAGCTTTTAAATTTTCAATATTCCCTACAAGATACAAAGTTTATTGATTTACGCTGTTCAATTATTTGCGTCTTTTTATTTGTATGTATGTAAAATAATTCAATTTTTCCAAATTTTATATTTTAAAGACCTGTACCGAATTTTTGAAAATTTGCTGTAACATACCCACTGCTGTTGTCAAAAGTATTATTCAATGAACTTGACATGATTTGCTGTCAGTTTTTGTTCAGTTTTTTGTGACAATTTTAACAAAATGTCACACATCAGGGATAAAATGTGGTTGAAAATTTGGTTTCAAATTTCATTAGAAAAAAAACCTCATTAGAAAAACCGGTGGATTGAAATTTCTAGGACTTTTTTTTAAAAAGGCCAAAGGCCATCCGTTTTTATATATTGACTTCTCTGTGTGGTGAAAACTGGATGTTCAAATATTTATGGACACTTTTGATTGGCTGTTGCACTGATCAGATGCTTTATAATATTTTCTCTGTCACTGGTTTTTCCATGTAAAATTATTGACTGAATAATTTTATCCTAATCTTTAGTCTAAGGATTAAGTAAAATACCTACAAATTAATTTTAATTTTAAAAAATTAATTAATTTACAGCTTTTGAAAATATTTTCATTTTCGTAAAGAAATTAATAGACAAGTATGTTCAGTCTTATCTATTTAAAATTGCATTTTTTATTTTTTATTTTTTATTTCTATTGTTATATTAATTAAATAAAATCAGCATATTAATTAGGAAAATCCCAAAGTTGGCTTACATAGACTGGCTATGTTGTTCAAGTGTAGTAAATGTGCAGTACTTTCATCATTGTCAATGTCAATTTTTTAGAATACACATTTCTGATGGTTGACTTGGTAATAAGTTTAGCAGCAGTTTTATAAAGAAAATTATTTCCTTCAGACCTATGTATATTATCGTGTAATTATTATTTTTTAAAATCTAAAATCCCCACGTTCTAATCTAAACCAGTGAAAATTGCTCAGATACCTTAAGACATAATATCTAAGTCAATAATACGATGTAGTTGGAACAACAGAATTTGAACCCAGGCAACTAAACATTATTGATTGCATCACATCACACAACTCATACCAATGCTAACAGCGGCATCTGAAAGCATAATAACTGAGACCTTTTATTTATATTTTTATATTTACATCCTTTAGTATTTACTTCTTTAATATAAAAGGTTTTTAAAAATGTATTAAAAAATTGTTCCCTTATTAAAAATAGGTGAGACCCTATTAGAGCCTGCATTGATTGTTTAGTGTAATCCTGACTTAAGTCCCTTATAAAAACCTAATAGAGAGATATATTTTCAGTTGATTGTCTATAAGAAAAAAAAGAAAAGTGTTTACATCTTTTAATTAACTTTTTGTTGTTGTATTAGACCTTAATGTCTGTAATTTTTTTTTCTTGATAACATAATCTTAATGTATGAATGGTAGTAGTATGTACATGTAAAAGATCTGTTCTTTTAATTTGAGCTTTAAGTTTCTAATGATGCATGTCCCTTGCTGCTAATTTATCAACATTGGCATAATGATATTGTTTGCAGAATGAAGTATTATGCTGTATGAAAATTGGGGTATGAGATGTGAAATGATGTTGTATGGAGAATGACATGATGTTGTATGCAGATTGGGATATGATATTGATCACTGTATATACAATCACCGTAAGTTAACATTGTCATGGTACGGGTATAAAAACAACTAGTAGAGTTATGTTATATATAGTTCAGTTACTTGTATTAGAAAAGCTTGTTCATTGAATGCTGTATTTGGTCATTGATTGTTAGTGGTAAACATTTAGTTCACAACTTTGTTTATGCATTTATCTAAAATAATTACTTTTGTAAAGTCCCAGTAAATTGAAGGTAGATAACTATAGCCCATATTTTTAAGGGAAATCCATTTAGAGTAATGAATTTAATGCTCACAAGGTGCAATTTAAAAGCTTTTTTTCTTAAGAGGAGCTTAATAAAAGTATTTAATTTTGCTGCGCTTATATTTAATATAGGAAAAACTGTACCACATTCACTCCATCTTGTGATTTGTGAGTCGCCCTAGCCTAATATTTGGGGCTAATTTAAAAAGTTGGAATTCTAAACTGGTTGAGTCCATACTTCCCAATGGTTGGTCTTAGAATATTTTAGCCAAATCATTCCTGAAACAAATTTCCAATGAGGGAATTCTTGTGTGATCTTAACCTTATCTCAGCGACTGAAGCCCACCCACCCCCACCCCATTATCCTACCTCTCAACACTGTGTTTTATTTATTCAACGACTGCCCACGAGCTATGCCTAGAATTTTCACTTCATCTTGTACAGAAAAATAGCTCACTTGTTTTGTTTTTAAGAAGGTTAAATTTATGAGAATAAGTTCAAGTTTATGTTTGTATCACATGCCCCAGTGAATTATGGTTTGATCTAAAATCTTGGATACTGAAGTAATCTTCTATTTTAAAAGTTAATGCACTGCAAAGATACGGGTTTTTTACATATTTTATTTTATTTCCTCTCAAAGCATTTGTTAATTAAGTGTAAATAGTTTCTGTATTTATAACATATTCATATATATTTATGCATAAATATATATACATATGTGACACAAAGACTTGCTAAAATTTTATTTTTTGCATTGAAAACGTTTTTAGGGTCTTTTTTAAGGGCTAAAGTTAGAAACTTTTTTGTAATTGTTCCAAAACTTATTGTATTTGTTAGTTTCAAATTGGTAAAGTTAATTACAGCAGTGCTACTTCATTGCTTAATACTTGATTAGAACAATCTCAACCTTTGACTAGAAAATCACCATCATGGAAATACAATTGCTATAATCATCAACCACACCAGCCCTGGCATTTTTTAAGTCGTAGGGAAATAAGTTTTTGTACATAAATAACTTGTATATTAATCAACATGTGTAAATACAATGGACATTGTTAGCAGTATAGTAGTCATGAATTCATTTGTGTAAACTGTTCTTACTAGTAGAGTTATTGTTCTTGATTCATACTAGTAGAGTTAATGTTCTTGATTTTACTAGTAGAGTTATCATTCTTGATTCATGCTTATAAAAAACTAACACATTTGTGTTCTTCAATTTAAAAGCAAAAACATAAATCTGATGAAAACACAGCTATTCAATAAAAGTTTAGGATTAATTCTACCTGTATGATTAATCTGCTGTTCCATCAAATAATTGGCTTACTGTCAAAGATATTGTTTATTCTTATGGCACTTAAAACCTATGACCGTATTGCTGATAAGTAATAGAAAACTTTGCTGTTTGATTTGAACAGTTGTTGTTTACTTTCCCCTATGATTATGTATTTCTATCTAGTTGAAACACTTTATTTGTCCCTGGTTGTTGTGTAGAGTATTGCCTGACATGATATTAACCGTATACCGTAATCTTTGTGACATACAACAGCTATAATGAACATCATTCAAATGTTGAACACCTCTGTTAAGAAGTACATTATTAGCATAGCATTTATTTTAAAATCATTTTTTTTTGTCTGACTCATGACATAAGCAACTCAATCTCTGTTCTAAAATCATTTTGTTCGTTAAGGTAACGAGAGATCAGCAACTCAAGTCCAGTGATTGGTTGTTGGTTGGTGTACACATCCTGGTTACATTTTGTTACTGGGGTTATTTATTGTTACAGTTACAAGCTAAAAATAACTAGTTGACACAAGAGTGCCATTATCTCAATATTTCTTCTGTACCTATGGATTGTTAACTTCTGTAGCTACAGAATGTTAACATTTGTACCTACAGAATGTTAACTTCTTGTGTACTTATCGATTGTTCACTTTGTTCAGGCAGAAATAAACATTTGGGCAGCATGTTTGTCACCTAGGCACAATTCAACATGTGTTTGTACCAATACATTTTAAATAACAAGAATTCAACATGTGTTTGTTGTCTGATTGAGAAAGCTAAAGAAATTAATTAGCTCTTGTCTTGTTCATTTTTAAAAAATTCAATTATTTTACCTTTTTTTGATATTTTTTGGAAAAAATGTTTTTTGTTGAATTTCTAAGTAACAGAAAAGCAATGAAATATTTCAAAGCTATCTTTTAAATATTTAACTTTATCTGATTAACAAAAACTCAATTAATGAACAGATATAGATTAGATTAGGCTCGAGAGTTAATTTTTTTTATTTTTGTTCCAAAACCTGTAAAACACAAGCATAAAAAAAAATTGTTTTCTGAATATTGTCATAATATTAACAACAGCAGTTAGTGAAGGATGCAAAATTGTATAATTCATGTACAAATTTATGTTTCCTCCACGCGTTTTATCTACCATAGAACACTCGACGGCAGCTCTGAAAATATTGTTTCTGTTCCTCTATATTGAACATTGTGTCAAACTATTTCCTTCCCATTGTTAATAATGTATACGTGTACCTATGTCAAAGTAGTATTTATCCTGTGTATTTAGTCTTTAAAATGCTAAAATGTCTTAGATCATAAATGAAATAATTCAAATTGTAAAATTGCCTGAAATTTCTCATGACTTGCATCTGCCTAGTGGTGTCCTTGTTAGCTGTCAGAAAATATTTGACCCTGGTTTTTTTTTAGAATTGGCCATCAGAGTGCTAAAAAACCTGGCACATTTTGTTC